CGCCCCGGACCGCGCGATTGGCGGGACTGGAGAGGTGTGGCCTGGGCGGGAGGGGGCGTGGTTTCGGGGGGGCTGGCGTTTGCCGCAGGAGCGGAGCCCTGAGCCGAGCGGGGAGCGGAGGGGCGGGGGCGCCGGAGCCCGCGGGCCGCTCCCCGCGCCCAGCGCCCGCCCGCCCGCCTTCCAGCTCTCGGGCTTCGGCTGCAGCAGCGCCAGCGGGAGGCGGAGGCGCAGAGACCCCGGCCCCGCGGGCAGAGACAGTGAGTGAGCGCGGCGTGGGGGGTGGGGGCCCGCGGGCGGCTTCGGCCCTCTGGCCTTCCGTGCCGGGGTGCCCACTCCGGGCGGGGGGGGGCAGGGGCACTGCCCTCACGCGTGTCCTGGCGTGGGGACGGGGTCTCGGAGGGGAGCGGGGCAGGCGATGACGTCACGCGCTGAGGGGCGCGGCCGGGATGACGTCACTGCCACCCCAGGTTAGGGTAGGGGGTCCAGGGGCTCCGTGGGTACCCCCTGTGTCCAGGGATGGCGCTGGGGGAACCCTTGAGGTGGGATTCCCCGCCTTCCTTCCCCTTTCTACCTCGGGCACCTGGGTCCCTGTGTCCTCTTCATCCCCAGCCTGAGGACGCCCCACAGTCAGGGGTTTGGGGGGAGATAGACCCGGAATAGAGCCAGACATCAGGGTCACCCCTTCCCTGGTCATGTGTGTGGGAGGATGCCCTCAGCCCTCGGGCATCCAGCCAGATGCTGCCAGATTTGGGGGCGGGGGGGGGGAGAACAGCATGAAGACTTAGCATGAAGGACTTAGAAGTCCTAGCCCACCACTACACTTTAGGCCAAATTTTACAAAATCCTGAGCTCCCCTTTCAGCCTGTCCTAACTACCACCACCACCCAGGTAAGGATCAAGGCCAGTATCCCTTGACTTCTTGCATATCCCCCTCCTCCTAATCCACCTGTGCTCTCTCTCCTTTCCCTCCTTGCTCTTCACTCCCCTCCCCTTCCATAGAATCTGACTTAAAAGCCTGTCCTCCTCCTCAGGCTAATCTGTGTGGTCAGTTTGGCCACCTTGTAAGCATTCACGTCCTGCCTTCCCTCTGGGGACCCCGATGGTAGGGCACAGGAGTGGGGGAGGGGAGTTGGTAGTGGAGCAGCTACTGCTGCCCATGTTCATTCATTCAACAAGCGTCTATAAAGTGCAGAATGTGTACCCAGGCCTGTGGTAAGCATGGGGAGATACAGAGTGTAGATGGCAAAGGGCCTCTGGCCCCAAGGACCCTGCTGACTAGTAGGGGAATAACACTTCTCCTGGGTTATATAGTTAGGGGGACACTGAGATAGACAGTCATTGCTAAGGTAGGGGGGGAGGGAGGATCAGGGAGGGCTTGGTGAAGAAGATGCACCTGTAAGGGTAGAAAGCAGCTAGGGTGTTCAAAACATTGGGAGCAAAGCCACGGAGCATGTAAGGGAATGGTCGCAGGGAGACTGAGAGTCATCATGGGGGGCAGAAAAGAGGCCAGTTCGGCTGGAGAACATGGGGAAAAGTACAAACTGAGACTGGAGAGGCTAGTGGGGACCAGATTATGGAGGTCCTTGAACTCTCGACACAGGCATTGTAACTTCACTCGGTGGGCAACAGGCTTTTGAATGACATGAGAGGCAGCTGTGATGAGAGAGAGAGAGAATCAATGAGAGAAGTGCAGGGGAAAGAGGACTGGATCAAGAGTCAGAGAACCTAGCTTCAGATCTTGGCTCTGCCACTTTTGTGATCATGAACAAATCACTTCACCTCTGGGCCTCAGTTTCTTCATTTGTAAAATGAGAGGACTGAACTAGAGACTTCTAAGGGCCCTTCCAACTTTAAATCTATGATCCATATGACCATAATCACCTACTAGGTTTGCTGTGACTAGTTCTGTGCATGAGAAAGATTATTCTGGTAGTCTGAAGAGAGAGGGAGAGAGTCAAGGTGGGATTCTTTGCTCTAAACCCTGTGGGCTGCACCAGGTCTGTGGCTAGTGGTCTAGATAATGAACACACCATTCCCTGTGTCCAAGGGAGCCATCTATGATATCTGAGGGGAGCAGATGTTATAGTCACAAGACCCCTTTAAGCTGCAAATAACTGTAGAGGTCAGCCAGATTAACCCCGTTATTGTGAAAATGGGGAAACTGATGCCCAGAAAAGAGACAGATTTGCCAGGCTGCCAGATGGCTGAACCTCTTCGTTGTCCTGCCAGGGTCCAAGTAGTGCTGTGAGGGTGCTGCCCTCCAGGTCATCAAGCAATCCACCTTCTTAAGACTGAGGAATTTTAATAGTAAGCCTTTATTGAGCTCCTAGTGTGTGCTGTTCACAGTGCTAAGCCCTGGAGATACAAATAAGAAAAAGAAAGAGTCCCTCCCCTCCAGGAGCTTAAAGTCTGATAGGTGCTGATAGGTGAAGACCAGACATAGAAGGAATCAGAAAAGGGTGGGGAGGAATTAAAGGGAGGAGAAAGTATGTGTGTGGGAGAAAGGTCTCAACTTATGACCTTCTTGCCCCAGTTCCCAATAATAGTAATAACTAGCTTTTACGTAGCACAGTAAGGTTTGCTTAGCACTTCACACAGGCTATCTCATTTAATCCTCACTACAACCCTATGAGGTAGGTGCCATAATTATACCCATTTTACAGATAGGGAAACTGAAGCTGAGAGAGATTAAGTGACTTGCCCAGGATAACACAATTAGTGAATGCTTGAACTCGGCGTTCTGTTCACTAGATCACTTAGCAACCTCAGAGTTCCATCATATGCCTAGTCCCCTCTTGAGCCCTGGGGGGGGGGGGACCTCTTTTCCCTTTCTATCATTACAACCCCAGTGACTCACACTGTTCAAGATCTTAATAAATGTTTGAATTGAACTGAAGAATTGGCTTGAGAAGGGCATGTAGGGCAAGCTGTACTGCTGAGGAAGCTCCTCAAGTCTAGAGAGAAGGCTCAGACTCTCCCATGAGACTGAGAAGAGGATACACCATGTCCTGCAGGTGTGCCAGTGGAATTCAGGGCTGAGGGAGTTCAGAAGTGGGTGAGTTGGGCAGGGCTAATGAAGGCAGGGCTGGGCTGTTAGTCAGGAGGCCTGTGGAGCTCCATGCCTCGGTTTCTCCATCTGTAAAAGATGATTGCTAAATTCTCTGCTAATGCTGACAGCCTACAGATGTAGTTAGGGAAAGCTTCAAGGTAGGGCTTGAGCTGACTGTAAGTGTTTACCTGCTATGTACGGGGAGAGGAGAGAGAGAAGAGAGGGCACATATGATGGGGAAGCCAGACTCCTGCCATCAGCATTGACATTATCCTGGAATGTTTGGAGGACAGGGAGTCTGGCCCAATGGAAGCAGAGAAGAGGTCTAGAGCAATGCGAAACTCTAAGATCGTAGGATTTATCCTGGGAAGGGACCTTAGAAAGCATTTGCCCCATTTTCCTCATTTTTTTTTTTCCAAACAAATGAAGAGACTCCTGCCTCCTGGTGGGAAATGACTTGGTCATATAAGTAGTAAGTAGCAGGATCAGATCCATCCTCACATTCAGTCTTCTTTCCATGATGTCCTCCTGCCTCCCTCTCCCAGATAAGGCTGAGAAGGTAATTGGGGATCGCATGAGGTAGGGTTTTGAATGTCAGACTAAGGACTATGGAATTTATCCCCCGAGCACATAGGGAGCCATTGAAGATTTGTGTGCTGGGGAGTGTTATAGTCAGCTTTGTGCATGAGGAAGATAAATCTGTGTGCAAGATTGGTTGGGGATGGGCGTGAGGGGCAAGGAGCCTGGAGGTGGGGAATCTGGAATGGAAATGGACAAGGCACAAATCTCGAACATGGCAGAAATGAATCTGGGAGTCAGGGTGGACCACAAGCTGAAAACTAGTCTCATGAGTGAAGCCAGAAAGAGGGACCTGAAGAGCAATGGCATCCTCTGGATTCTGCAGCCTCTAGCCCCTCATCCCAGTGCTGTGCATCACTTGCACCTAAGATGATCACAAGATTTTAGAAATCCTGGAAAGGACCTTAAAAATAATATAACCCAATCCCCTGATTCCATGTGACATAGGCTGTCAGCAGAGGATGGGAAGGAAGAAAGTGGGGAGCACTGAAACCTTTAGCAATCTATCGGCCTTGGAGGTAGGGCGAGGCTAGGGATTGTGGTCAGATTAAAGGAAGAGCTCTGGTGAAGGCCCCAAGGATCTGTAACAATTTTTATCAGTTATTTGGATGGCGGAAGCATAGCTGGCATACCGATCAGATTTTTAGATGCCACAAAGCTGGGAGCGGTAGCTAACTTGTTAGACAACACAGTCACGTCCAAAAAAGATCTCAGCAGGCCAGAATGATGAGCAGAACCTAATAAGTGACATTTTAAAAGATGATCATTTTTAACATAGTAAACATCAACAAAGTTGAACAACTTCCTCCCCCAGCAGGCGGTTTGGAGATGGAACTAAATGAATTAACAGAAAGCCCACTGATAATTTATAGACTCAGAAGCAGGATTTGAACCCAGATCTTCCTACAGCCAAGTCCACTTAGCTATATGCACCATGCCATATCTTACCAAAGAACTAACAAGTAGGGTTGTCCCATGTCCCTTTCTTAATCTGGCTTTCCCTTTTTTTTTTTATAGTCATAGTGTGTACACATTTGTTTTGACTGAAGATGAAATGTAGTAGATATAAATGCAAAGTTCGGCACTTTGGTTCAAAAAATCAACAGCACAAGGAAAAGATTATTCAGTGAGTGTAGCTTCCTTCAGGCCTTGGAGTGAGTGACCAAGGGGACAGTATGGCATCTTGCTAAGATACTAAGGAGAACACAGTGGCAGAATAACCCCAGATTTAAAGTCGGAAGAACTGGTTTCAAATTCTGGCTATGCTCCTTGTTATCTGTATGACCTTGTATGTCCTTCCTCTTTTCTGGGCCCCAGTTTCCCTCTATAAAATGAGAAGATTGGACTAGATCAGAGGCTCTTAACCTGGGCTCTATGAATTTTTTTTTAAATATTTGATAGCTGTATTTCAATCTAATTGGTTTCCTTTGTAATCCTATGCATTTTATCATCCTGTATATGTTGATGAATTTAAAAGCATTATTCCCAGAAGATAGGTATAGGCTTCCCCAGACTGCTAAAGGGGTCCATGATACAGAAAAAAGGTTAAGACCCCTTAGGCTGGATGGTCTTTTAGGTCCCTTGTTTTCTTGATTCTGCCAGAAGAGATGGGGACCCTTGGTGACTGTTAGGCACCTGAATTAAGGGGTGGGTTCTACCCCCTGCCAAAGGGGGGGTAGAACCTCCTCCCCTATTGGGAAGGAGGAAGGGGTGAAGAAATTCCAAAGGCTGCTACTACAATCAGTAAAGGTGAAAGTCTAGGGAATCAGACCTGGGCCAGTGTACCAGGAAGGAATCAATCCTTGCCCCAATCCCTCTCCCTAATAAGCCCTATTGACCTGGCTCAGTCATTTGGAGTGGGGTGGGAAGGTTAATCTGACACCACCTGTCTCTGCTGTTTGGGGACAAAGGGACAGGGTCCATTCCTTCCTCTCCACTGGGGCTTAACCCGGAAATCCCAAAAAGAAGTAACATGAGCCATCCCCTCCCCCCACACAGACACCTGTCTTGGATAGAGTGTGTTGAGGAAGGTCAAGCGACAATAGGATAATACCCAATGGAAGAGGCTGTATTTACAGAAAACAGCTGGGACTTTGAAGAGGGAAGGCCTCCCAGAGGTGAGGACTCCCTAGATAGGTTTTGAGGGAGCTCAAGTGATCAAGGGAGAGTGTGTGTGTGGGGAGGGGGGGGTGCAGTGTGTAAAGGTCTCACACTTTCTGGAACGTTTGTGCCCTAAGGCATTGCCTGCCTTCTTGGAGGGCCAGGCTGGCTGCTTCCCTCTCTGGGCACACAGTCCGTGGCAGTGATCAGAGTAGGTGATGCTTCTTAAGAGATACTTACTCCCCACCTCTTGTGCAGAAACAGACATCCAGGAGGGAATTCTGGAGGAGTGGTGCCCCAGGTGCAAACCTAGGAGTGTATAGTTTCAGATTAATTTCTCAGGCCTAGGGCCAAAGAGAGTCTCAGGCCAACTCACCTGTTCTCACCTCTGAAACCCTCCTTCACTTCCTAAGCTTCAGGAAGTCCTCCTGCCTTGTCCCACCCCCAGCACCTTTTTCTGCCTGTTCTGTGAACCCCTTCTTCCCATCTGACCCGTCCCCTTGTTCCTACTCACTGATACACCACTGGTTGGACTTCAGTGGGGACAGGGTTAAAGGCCAGGCCCCTTCTTTTGCCAGTAGGAGGTAGGAGCTCAAGGGGTGGGGTAAAGGACCCAGCTAGCAGAGAACTGCAGCACCACCATCCCCAAGCCCTGTGGGTGAGTCACCCTCAGGCCAGGGGGCTCCTGGCTAATAGGATTAGGTAACGGTGAGTTGGGACATTTGGGTGTCTTTCTAGCACCTCCTCAGTTAACTGCTTTGGGGAAGGGGAGTATAATGAAAGCCTAAGCCTTCAGTTCCTCCCTTGTGTCTGCTTTTTCCCCCCTTTCCTACATGTACGCACCTGTAAAGGTGCCCAGGTGTGAGTGCACAAACACGCATGCCCCTCCCCCCCTCCCCCCATTTCCGCATTCCAATGTAGGGGTTGGGAGGGGGATTTGGGGCAGGTGGTGAGGTTAATGATAAATGGAGGAGGTTTGAGAATGTCCCTTCCATTTCCTCCCCCTCCTCCTTCTCA